GATGATCCTGACCCTGACTCAGAGACTTCCCGGCCTGATCTCAGAGTTCTCTTGTCAATATGGACTTACAGAACTATAGAATCATAGAATAGTTTGAGTTGGAAGGGACCATGAAGGTCAGGTAGTCCAAATCCTGTGCAGTAAGCAGGGACATCTTCCACTAGATCAGGTTGCCCAGAGCCCCATCCAACCTGACCCGGAATGTTTCCAGGGATGTGGCATCTACCACCTCCCTGGGAAAACTGTTCCAGTGTTTCACCACCGTAAGCATAAAATATTTCTTCCTTCTATCTAGTCTAAACCTCTCCTCTAGACTCTCCACTGGTCGGGCTGAGCTGTGAAGCTGACCCCAGCACAAGCACTGCATACACCAGGAGGTCTCAATATGTTCAACTTTTTTTAGCCTTGTCTTTTCCACACATTTAGTATTTATTACAGTATTATTTATTGCCGCTTGTACACTTCCCTTTTAAATTAAGAATTTTAGCAGGTATCTTCATCACCTGAAGATGGAGATTCCTGTCTTGATTCTGATACAACTCCATAAATGCATGTAAAAAAGACAATGCATTCTTACAAGGCTGAAACCATCTCTTGAAAGAAAGACTAATTTGTGATATATAACTTTAAATGTAAGAATGAGCATATATTACATCCTTCCTAAAAGTTCCATTCACTTTTTTTTTTTTTATTATTCTTCAGAGCTCTTTTATTAAACTATTGTTCACTTACTCCTGAGTTGTTCAGAGCTAATAGAATAGCTAATAGAAATCTCAATTTTTTTCTTGGCATCTTCATATCAAAATGGATGGTTGCCAGCACAGTAATAGAGCTTAGCATTTCTCTTCACAAATATGACACCATTGAAACTAATGAAAATGTTGATACTAAGTACCCTCACTAGTCTTTAGAATTATTTTGGGCAAGACACAACTTCTTAAATAATTTAAAGAAGAAAAAGTTCAGTATGAGGAGACTCTGACTTTAAATCAAGGTGAATAAAACTCTAACTGGAAGAGATAAAATAGGTTTGAAGCCCATGGAGAGATGAACTGAGTATATTCTAGGGAAAAACAGTTAATAAAAAAAATTAAGCAAGTGATGTATTAAACTATAAAGAGAGAAGTTGAACTCAGTGCAGTCACCAATATTTCTTTTGGGGAATACTGCAAGGTAAACACAGGAAGCTTCTGCACAGTTCCCTGTTTTGACTGGCACTAGTTCTGCTGTCACTGCAAATATCAATATATATGTCTATGCATATATTTCTAATACTTAGCTTTCTTGCATATCTGTTTCTATCCATCTGCACAAACATCTTCCTAAATCTGGCTTGCCTGGATTCCATATTTTTCTCTTCTTCAAAACAAAACCAAAGGTAACACCACATAGAATGTGGTTTTCTCCTCAGTAAAATTACATTTTGCATAAGGAACATTTGATGGACTAATTATGTCATAGCATTAAAGGAAATTACTATTTGTTAACATTACTTCCTCTACCTGATGCTGTTAGCTGTTTCCATAAAACAGAGACTCTTATCCTACTGCATGGAATTACTACTGTATCTAAGCCTAATGCCATTGATTGTAGTGTATAAAGAAGAAGATCTGAGGAAAGGAACTGGTCTAAATGCCCGAGAACTGTGTCTCAACCTAGGTCATAGTCAGAAGGAAGCTGTCTTGTCCCCATGATAGAGACAAGGGAACACAAGTGTACCGAAGAGGCAGACAAAGCACAGCTGAAAATTATATGAAATCATATATGTGATGCTAGAGGGGTGTACAGAAATACCAAAACCAGAATATATATAGGAAATAATGGAATATATGTAATAGAAAAATAAACTTATATTTCACACATACTTTCCACCCATAGGGTCACTCATAGAAACATACCTTTATGCTGCTGGTTACTATGGTGACGAGGATAGCCTAAGAGCCTACTTAGGACAGAAGTGACATACTGTCTAGCACATTACTCAAGGCAGTGGGATGCTATCAGACAAAAACATTAGTTCAAGATGTTGTTTGGTTTTTTTTTTTTTTCCTAGTAGCTGGTATAGTGCTATGTTTTGGATTTAGGATGAGAATAATGTGATAACACACTGATGTTTAAGTTGTTGCTGAGCAGTGCAGAGGTCGAGCTGTTGGAGCGGGTCCAGAGGAAGGCCACAAAGATGGTCAGAGGGCTGGAGCAACTTCCCTATGAGGACAGGCTGAGAGAGTTGGGGTTGTTCAGCCTGGAGAAGAGAAGGCTCCGGGAAGACCTTATAGCAGCCTTCCAGTACCTGAAGGGGGCTACAGAAGAGATGGGGAGGGGCTTTTTACAAGGGCATGCAGTGACAGGATGAGGGGTAATGGATTTAAATTGGAAGAGGACAGATTTAGACTAGATATTAGGAAGAAATTATTTACTGTGAGGGTGGTGAAACACTGGAACAGGTTGCCCAGGGAAGCTGTGGAGGCTCCATCCCTGGAGGTGTTCAAGGCCAGGCTGGATGAGGCTTTGAGCAACCTGGTCCAGTGGAGGGTGTCCCTGCCCATGGTAGGAGGGTTGGAACTCGATGATCTTTAAGGTCCTTTCCAATCCAAACCATTCTATGATTCTGTGATTCCATGACTTTTCAGCTTCTCATACTGCTCTGCCAGCCAGGAGGCTGAGGGTGCACAAAAAGCTGGGAGGGGACACAGCCAGGACAGTTGATCCAAACTGGGATATTTCATAGCATATGACATCATGCTGAACATGATGAACAATAAAATTGGGAGGGGGTTGGCTGGAGGCAACAGTGGCTGCTCAAGGACTGGCTGGGCACTGGTCAGCGGGTGGGGAGCAATTGCATTGTGCATCACTTTTTACATTATTTTATAATTATTATTATTTTCCCTTCCTTTTCCATCCTATTATACTGTCTTTATCTCAACCTATGAGTTTTACCTTTTTTCCAATTCTCTCCCTCATCCCATTTAGGGGACAGTGAGCAGATGGCTGTGTGGTGTTTACAGCCTGATGGGTTAAACCACAACAGGGAGGAAAGACCGAGCGGGTATCTTTCAGCTAATAATGAGCAGACTTATATATGCATTTTAATTTTGGGGTTTGATACTTTCAAATTCACCACTATGGATAAATTAATCATTTAAGCAGTCTTACCGAAGGCCAATATAATGAAGTAATGTTTTACATTTTGCAATATTTTCAAAAAAAGTAAATGTGAAAAGTATCCATTCCAGAATATGAAACTTGATTTAATTTTCAGAACATTTGTATGTGTCAGATAGGTCTCTGCAAACTGAGATAAAGAATACACAATAAAGAGAAAAATGGACAAACTTGCGCCAAGATCTATTCTAAAAATCTAAACCCCAAAGGGCTTACCTATTTGAGCTATAAATGCAAGGAAGTGGGAAGGAGAAGATGCACAGAACAATTCACATACAGTTTAGGGACTGTCAGACTGCTCCAGGTTACTCTGTGTGTGTGTAAAATTTAAAAAATTGGGGAATTACCATGGAATTTTTGAAATCAACTTCTGACAGGACTAGACAGATAGTAAGGACTTACGCACTTAGCTACGGAATAAGCAGGAGGTGTGTGGATCTGAGTTTTATACCAAATATAAATTTCTGTTTAGGTGGAATATACACAAGAAACATATCCACCTGAAAAATAGGGAAACCAAGCTTTTCACATTTTATAGAGGTGGTCTAAGGAAGTCTACATAGAGATTCTGAGGCTCCTGTGTTGTCTTGATAAACAGCTAGAGTAGAAAGGTTAGCTAGACATAAGAATATATTTTTCAGTGTATAAGATAATCTTACACTTCAGAATTAATTTCCTAGAGACTGGCACAGTGATATATTTAAGAAACACTTATTTTTCAGCACTTGGAAAACATCACTATATAGTAAGCAGTGACAAATGGTGACCCCAAACAGTACTAATAGCATTGGGAAAAGAACACTTGGAAATAAAATGAATATGAAATTTGCACTTTCAGTATTATTTTTTCTGCAACTCTTGCTGTATTTATTTCATCAGCACCTAGCATGACAAAACAAACAGTACTCAAGTGGTATGAAATATCCCTTCTCGTAAACTAGCCTAAGGCAGTTTCTCTGTCTGTGCTAGTAATTGTGCTAATGATACAGCAAACAGCTTTAGAATAAACCCCTTCACCCTCAGAAACACCAACAATCTTGTACAAACAGAAGAGAAAAGATTCAAATTTCTTCCTTAACCAGTTGGAGGCAAGAGACAAGACGTCACACACAATTGTCTTGTGTGTAGTGGACATATTATTTTGTCGCTGATAACAGCATTACTTAACAGGAACAGGAGCAGCACAGGCAGTATGCCTTGCCAGAAAATAAGCCTTCCCAAACAAATTAAGGCTACTGATGATCTAAATTCAGTAAAATATACATCTATTTAAATTAATTACTGTGATCCAGTAATGGGATTCTTTGACAGGTGGAACAGATGCTGGTTGAAATAATCTGGTTGAAATAATCAAGTTGTATTCATTGACTTTAACTGTAATAGCAAAGACATGTCAGATATCGTGGATTCTGCAGGACATAAACATAGCATGGTGCAGTCGTGTTTTCACTGACTTTAACCATAAGATTATCTGTCTAGTCACTGAGTCACTATTTTTAAAACTAGACAGGTACAAAAATCTCATGGGCAAATATTCAATTGATTCTTTGACAACACATAGAAAACAATAAGAAACGATTGCTTTTCAAAGGACATCTTCTGTTCCTCTTATTGTAAAAAAGTACCAGTTACATATTTCACCCCCAGTTCCAGTTTCTTCCCCCTCATACTAGCTTTATGCTAGAATAAGTTCAGTCTTTGAGTTACTTCTGATTACAGAAAGCCCATCTATTTAACAAAGTAACCTTTAGTTATCTTTTAATGCTCGTAAATATTTCAGAGAATTTTTAAGGCAATATGTGACATAGCACAGTTCTTTAGGAGTCTTCAGTTACCTGGGTAATACCTAGCGAGGCCAGTTGCACTACCAAAAACCTGCCATAATAAAGTGGGGTCCTCCTCTCTGTTCCGCTTGAACACATCGTCCAGCGCTGCAGTCCAGTTGAGTTCATTTAGCACTATCGTTGCTGTCAAAGACAAAACATGTTGGCATTACAAAGTTACATCCTAACACAAGCAGCAATGACTACAAAAAGCAAACTGAACTATTGCAGAAAGTAATAACATTTCATTTGATCAACAAAGTAAGTTGAAAGAAATACACTCCTCTTCCTTGGGAATTTTAAGTTTCTGAGCTCTCTTCTTCCTGTTGCACTATTTGTATGCAATGACTGTTGGTTTATTTGCATAGCCAGTATCTTCTACAAATACTTTGTTTCTGAGATGTCACTCTTATTGCTTTTCCCCATTACGGAAAAATAAATGCAATCATATAAAGTTGATGTTTCTACTAATTACAACACACTGCAATAAGAAAAACTAGAATGGCATCAACAAAAGCAGGTGAGTCTCTCACAAAGGTAACAAGGATGTCCCTTTCCAAATGGATGCTGTAAGATAATTATATGCGAAAAAGGCAATAATGAGTTATTTGAATTGTAACATTGAAGTAGGACTGCATACACAATAGTACTCACTATTGCCGGCTAACAAGATCTTAATGTTCATAGATGTAACCACTTACAGAAAGACCAGCAGTGTGAACACTAATATTTATGAGTTGGGTCAGTTCCACAATGAACTTAAAATATGAGGAAATTCACATTTCAGCTAATCATGTGGCCAGTTACACAGAAACTTATGTTCGCAAAGTTGTCCTGTAACAATACTTTTTTTAGTCAGTTAAATATGTTATATAATCTAACATACATTAACATGTTCTATGTCTTTCTGAAAAAAAAAAAAAAAAGATGAACACTGCTACAAGAAGTCAATTGACTATAGTCAGTAGCCAATGAAATTTCATTGTGGTACAGAACACCTTATAATATATTTTATGATAAATCATGCTTTTCACCACATTTAACCAGACGTAAATATCTCATTAATTCCCTCCCTCCCCCCCAATCTTAATAATGTTAGGCAATAGCAGGTACTCAGTTGATTAGAAGAGCAAAGGCTTTTTGTTGGTTTGGTAGTAATTCTTCCTTTTGTGTTGCCTAATGGCATTCTAAAACTGAAATATAGAGATTAGCAAGTCAAGAGTGGAAAGGGAACTAGAGAGGAAAGCAGATTTGAAAACAGCTAAAGACGTAGGTGTAAATCCTACAAAAGTTAACACTGTAACACAGATCCTGCTTACACTATAATATTGCACACAAGAAAGAAAATTCAACTTCTCTTGTAAATGGGCAAGTCAAGCTGAAATAAAAACAGTTCACAGTTAAAGCACATAAGTGGCATCACTGTACAAAATTTGATCTGCAGGTCTACATTCTAGCTCCCTGTTACCGTGAAAAAAAGAAACAAAAATAAGGACAGGTTGAAAGTTAACATCTGACAGCCCATTTCCAAAGTGAGGTTGTTATCATGTACTTGAGAAATGAGATCACAACATTAAATTTTATAGGCTTGTTTTAAAAGGTTAAGGAGAAAATTGCTACACAATATGTTCCTCAGAAATGTTTATCTCTTTTTTCCAAAGTAGTTTTAAGATAATATTACCCTCTCAAGATAGTTTTTTTAATAGAAATATCAAACAAAATTACCAACTCCTGAGATTCCCTGTAAGCAAAAAGCTTGTAATATATACCTGTCTCTTTGTCAAGCAGATAACTATAAACACTTATATGTTTACTGGAGAAAGAGGAATAATTCCCTAAAGCACCATGACAAATTAATTATCAACTTAAAATGGTTACTGTTCAAATATCTCTTTTCGATCCAGTTTGAGCTACTGTGTAATTAAGCATTATATACAGATTTCTAAACCTGACTTTGTTTCAGATCTTACTTCCACAAGTGGTTCCATGAAGCCACTAGAAGCTCTGCCATTTACTTAGACAAGAATTTCCTTTCATGCTTGAATTTTTATATTTTCATGTTAGTGTTTCCTCATCTGATGCACAAAGTACTTGGCCCAGTGTAAGCCTATGCCAATGGTTCCTGGCAGCATTTAGAGCACTGGAGATCAGGATACTTTAGGCACATGGGAGACAACAATTTTCACCTCTTTGCCAGCCGCAAAACACTTAGGTTTCAGGGTCCTCTATGAATTCCCAAGCCCCATAATCATATAAACCAATGCATTTATTTCACCTTCTGACCTGACTTAAAATTGTTGCAGCCTCTACACCCAAATCTGTCAGTGACTTTACCACCCTGGTCAGACCACTGACATCCCTATTCAGCAAAATATTTAATCAAAAAAAAAAAAAAAAAAAAGTTAATCATGATCATGCTCATAAATGTTTTTCTAAATTGGTGATTATCCACCTGATGAAAACAACACTTTACATATGAAATATGATACAATATTTCTAAAACCAGGATTTCCTTCAGACAGTTAGCTTACAAATGAATAAACTATATTAAGATATATTAAACGCATTATATCCATTTACAAATACTAACGCAAAGATCTATGTAACATCACCCAAAAATGTATTATGAAGTTATATATATATATATAAACCTATATGTTTACACATACCTCTGCACATACGAGTCATATATATAAAAATATATATCCAAAATATATGCATACACAAAACCAGGAAAAACTAAAGAGACAATTTACAAATAATAAATAAATAAGTACTGAATAGATATATTGGAACTAATAATTTCAGCATTTTATTAGACATGTTGAGATTAGGCTATAAAGCAAGAAATATCGCTTACTAGATTTTTTTTTTTTTTGTAATATCTGTGGAGAAGTGATGCTATACAGACAGAGTCAAGAGTTTTATGATCTTCTTTACATCCCACTTTCCCTTTCCTCCTTCTCCTCCTCTACATCTTTCTCCCAGAGATAAATATAACACCCTAAAAAAAATCCAAGAACTTGCAGCAAGGAAAAAACAAAACAAAACAAAACAAAAAAAAACCCAAACAGAAACCCCACCAAAACAAAAATACATGAAGCTGGAATTTAAAAAAAAAATTAAATAATGTCAAATTCAAGATGAGCAACAAGAACAGAGCATCCTAACAGAAGTAAAAACAAATCTGGGAAAAAGGTCCTAACAGTATGTAACGTATCTGTTTTCAGATACGGAAAAACATATATCATCTTCCTCCCTTCCTCATTATGATAACATCAGTTTGGCCTTGGAACAGACAGACAGAGTTTATCTGGTGGGACTGGCATGTAAATAGCTGATTGTACAATCATTAAACCAATTCTGGAGCAGTTTGCTATTTGCAATCAAACCTGCTGCCTTCATTCAGGGTTTTTTGTTTGTTCATTTCTACAAGTATACTTGTATAGCACGCACACACATTTGTGCTAACTAATCCAGTATGCAGTAAATAAGGAAAAGGGTGCTGGGAATTTTAGCTTTAATAATTTATTTCTCTAAGTGTTTTTCCCCAACTTCTATTACTTCTTTGCTTCTGCTGAGGAATACACCCTGGATTTCAAAAGGCAAGCTGTCAATCAAGTCTTTTCTTTTTTTTTTTTTTCATTGCAATACCCCTGGTAATATGCAATTTCAAACCAATACCTCTAGATTCTGGTTTAAAGCCTATAGCAATGGATTTGAAACTTGACAAACAAAGAAAAGCAAGCAAAACCATTCATAAACAGCAACAAAACAATTCTTCAAATGGTTCCTACCAAAATATCATGATTCTCATTTTGCACATAAAAATCAATGTAGCGCTACTTTCACCAGCCCATAGTAGAGCCCATGGCACCTGTCAGAATACTCTAATTTGAGAGACACGGGTTTATATTGACTGTATTTTACTAAAATAAAATGTTTAGAGGTCTTATAGCCACACCTACTGAGATGCTGTGTATCCTAGAAACACTTCTCCTTTTCAGTTAACTTCCATACAGGAAAGTGCTTTTGACTGATAATTGGCAGCAAATCTAGTTGGAGACAACTCTCCAATAAGCTTATTTCCAATTCTGCTAAAAGAAGTCTTTGAAGATTACTACTTCAAAGTACTTCAACTGCTACCTTTCACTTGACGAAGGCAAGATGAAAAAATAAAATTTATCATCACACAACAGGAAACACCATTCTTTCTGGCTAATTCCACTGAGCTGCATCCATCTTTCCTTTTTTCCCCCTTCTTTATGACACGAGCTTTAGGGGCCTTGACAAGGAGTGGATTCAATTTTCCTCTGCAAATGCAATCAATAAAAAATAGAGAACACTACCGTGCTCTCTTTAGAAGAACTGGAACACCCTTCTGATGATTTATTCAATATATAGGCCCCGGCCTGCACACAAGGCAGAGTATAACTTTATTTGAAAAGCCTGAGAGCTATTTACTATATCTGAAAATATGTCAGCTGCTGTTCCCTGATGCGACGGCTACACATACACTGGGGAGAACAGAAGGGAGCTCCTCAGCAGTTCATTAATCTTCTTTTAGTGTGTGGAAAGTATTACACTTCCATATCCTGTTTAATGAAGTGAACTCATTGATTTCTTTAAAGACAACACCACCTAGTTATTGTTCTGAATGAAATAAAAATTTGCAATCAAATATCATGGTATTTAAAAGAGGACACAGAGGGACAATACATTTGCAAGTGCATATTTTTGTATATATGTGTGCAGCCACAGAGGCTTCCATCTGTAGCCCTGCTAACTGGATATTATAAAAACTCTACTGAATATATAAACTCGTCTTCTTTATGAGTTATATGTTTACTAATTTTTTCAAGACTACATAACTTCCAACCTCTGTTAGATTACATAGAAAGCTACATAGTCTCAACTGTCACTGGTAAATTGTAATCCCATCTCATTTTACATTGGACTAAAGAAGGAATAGTCTTTTTTTTTTTTTAAGGGATTTTTAATTAGATTTTTGTGCTTGCTTATATATATGCATATGTATACATCTACATTTATATGTATATGTACATATTCTACATAATTCCCAGATATACTAATTTGATTAATTAGTCCAGTACTAACTTGTACGTCAACCTTTCAAACTTAGA